TGCTGGCTGTAAAGTACACTGTAACAAAGAGACTGCACTTTTTGATCATCAACTTGGCCATTGCAGATACCCTTGTCGTCTTTATCAACATATGCATCTTTGTAATTTTCAGATTCCTTACTTACAATGTATGGAATCACTTTCACGAAACCATCGCTCAAACGCTTTGCAAAGCATTGTATTGTTTGTTTTATATATGTCCTACAGAATCTCTTGTAACCCTACTAATCATCACCATTGAAAGATATAGAATCACCAGACAAACTCGTCAGTTGTCGCAGCCGTTATCTGGGAAACAGCGCTTGACAGTTATTGCTCTTTGTTGGTTGGTCGCCCTTTTGATTCATTCATTCTTACCTTTTTCCGTTGAAGTCAAAGAAAAGAATAATTCAGCGCTAGTTTGTGTTTATGTCGAAATCGGAACTCTATTACGGGTAGCTTTCTTTATCGTACTCCATGTGATATTATTCAACTTTTTATCAATACTCGTCCTGAGTATCTTAACATTACGAAGGATATCCAAGCCACAAACCATTGAAGACAGTCTTTCTGAATTGCAAAGACAACAGCGAAGAAAACGAATCCRAAGCGCAGTAAAGCTGGTTTTGTATTCCATATTACTTTTCTTCTGTTGCTACACTCCATTTATTTTATTCCTTGTTGTAGGTCGATTCTTTAAACATTATTGTATTGATTGGCCAATGCTTTTATTCCTCACTCGGTTCTTTCTTCCTCTTGTCAACTGTTGTCTGAGTCCCGTCATCTATTGTGTCTGTCTGTCCGACTTTCGTGAAGCAGCGAGGAGAKTGCTTTGTTACGGAAATACGCAGCCTCGCCTTGAGCGACGAAACTCCGTATTACAAACCGTTCGTCATAATCAAAATACTGAACTGTAAATTTGATGAAGTCGGCATAATGAAATGTACTTTCCCTAATAGTTATGTCGTCACTGAAAAATATTGTAAAAATACACTGTAAATAGAACTTAAGTCAAAAGGAATCTCCTAGAAAAGTCCGTACGGACTTGCTTAGGTTTTCTTGCCTATCAAAACCATATTMCGACACATTCTTTCAATAAGTATAACAATAAGAATAAATATTTACAAGCGTCAATGTGAACGGTTGGAAAGTAAAATGCTAAATTTGCAGTTGATATTTTAAAGTCTGGTTCGTTTTCAAATTAATACCGTCGACAAGTTTTTCAAAGCAGCGTCAACGTAAACCAGAGAAATATAAACGGGCGAAACTACATATAAAAGATGTAGTCGACACTTTTGAGAGGGTCAATTCCTTCTCTCACACCATAAGAGTTCGACGCCTAAAAGATCTAATCCTTGAAACGAAAGGAGAAGTAATACACTAAATACACCAAAGTCGCTTGGCTGCTCATCCAAGAGCCTCATGTACAAATATAATATCAAATTATTTAAACATCTATGCAAACAGAAGATATACTACAATAGCTGAATTTACATGTAAGAAATTTTATTTTGACTCCTTTGAAAAGCCATCTTTCTTCGATCCAATCCATTNGAGTCAGCAATTGAAAAAACAGTGAAACTGATGACATGTTTGGTTCTTGGTGGATTTGGTATTCTTGGCAACGTTTTTGTCATCTTGCTGGCTGTAAAGTACACTGTAACAAAGAGACTGCACTTTTTGATCATCAACTTGGCCATTGCAGATACCCTTGTCGTCTTAATAAACATATGCAGCTTCGTGATTTTCAGATTCCTTACTCAAAACCTTTGGAATGACCTTCACGAAGCCATTGCTCAGACGCTTTGCAAAGCATTGTATTTTTTGTTTTATGTATGTCCTACAGAATCTCTTGTAACCCTACTAATCATCACCATTGAAAGATATAGAATCACCAGACGAACGTGCCAGTTGTCGCAACCGTTATCTGGGAAACAGCGCTTGACAGTTATTGCTCTTTGTTGGTTGGTCGCCTTTTTGATTCATTCATTCTTACCTATTTCCGTTGAAGTCAAAGAAAWGAATAATTCAGCGCTAGTTTGTCTTATTGTCGAAAACGGAACTCTATTACAGKTAGCTTTCTTTATTGTACTCCATGTGATATTATTCAACTTTTTATCAATACTCGTCCTGAGTATCTTAACATTACGAAGGATATCCAAGCCACAGGCCATTGAAGACAGTCTTTCTGAATTGCAAAGACAACAGCGAAGAAAACGAATYCAAAGCGCAGTAAAGCTGGTTTTGTATTCCATATTGCTTTTCTTCTGTTGCTACACTCCATTTATTTTTTTACTTATTGTAGTTGAATTCTTTAAAATACATTATTGCATTGACTGGCCAATGCTTCGATTCTTCACACGGTACTTTCTTCCCCTTGTCAATTCCTGTCTGAGTCCCGTCATCTATTGTGTCTGTCTGTCCGACTTTCGTGAAGCAGCGAGGAGATTGCTTTGTTACGGAAATACGCAGCCTCGTCTTGAGCGACGAAACTCTGTATTACAAACCGTTCGTCATAATCAAAATACTGAAYTGTAAATTTGATGTACTTAATTCTTTCCCTAATGGTTATGTCGTCACTGAAAAATATTGTAAAAATACACTGTAAATAGAACTTAAGTGAAAAGGAATCTCCTAGAAAAGTCCGTACGGACTTGCTTAGGTTTTCTTGCCTATCAAAACCATATTACGACACATTCTTTCAATAAGTATAACAATAAGAATAAATATTTAMAAGCGTCAATGTGAACGGTTGGAAAATAAAATGCTAAATTTGCAGTTGATATTTTAAAGTCAGGTTCGTTTTCAAATTAATACCGTCGACATGTTTTTCAAAGCAGCGTCAACGTAAACCAGAGAAATATAAACGGGCGAAACTACATATAAAAGATGTAGTCGACACTTTTGAGAGG